TCTAAATTTCATAACATTGAAAATTAAAATTTGTCCAGAATTAACAACTCGAATATTGTTTTGTTTAGGTAAAGTATATAATTAATTTGGAGATATTTGCGGTTCTAAGTTAAACAACAGCCTGTTTTTTAAATTTTTGGTTGCGTTAACACTGTACATGCAACCAAGAAAGATGAATGCTAGTTGATTAAGCTTTCAGTAGATGACAGTTTACAAAATATATTTTTATCTTTAGTTAACATTATTGCAGTGCTTTCTGGACAAAAGCATTACCAAACTGAGTCTTGTTTTTTGCAGTTCAGTATTCTGCTAACCATGTCAAAGTAACATCAAAGTGCTACAGATCTATGAAAAAGAGTGAGCCACCACACATACTCAGTGTACAGATTAGCCTAGCAGACAAGAGCATTCGTGGAAAGTGTTCCTGTGTGGCGGGAGCTAGTGGATACTGTCATCATGTGGTTGGATTGCTCTTTTACATGTCGCACTGCAATCATCTTGTGCTAAAATCGCTGCCAGATGAACTTACTTGCACTAGCCTGCCACAGATGTGGAGTGTTCCTCGACAGAGAAAGATTGCGAACAAGGCTATTCAAGATGTAATGGTCAAGAAGCCAGAAGCAGGGGAAGATTACACCAAGTTTGTTAAAAGTAACCTGTACAGTCCTACAACTGCTTACCCCCTAATGCATGCTGAAATAATGACATCTCCCAAGCCACAACCACTTATGGCAACTGTGTTACCATCAGCTAGTAAAATGACATCAATATCTCCAGTTGCTACTTCCTTTGGTAATGCTGCACGGGGCAGTGTACTTTCATACCAACAAAAACTATCAAAGGAGTATATCATTAATGACTATTCTTGTACATTTTTACCAGATCTGCCGCTTGAAACAGCTGGTGAAAGATTTACTAACAATGTTTCAGTTTGTTTAAGTGCTGAAAAGCAAGCTGCTCTAGATTCTTTGGGGTTAACTAGAGATACTGCAATCAAGCTGGAACGACAGACAATCTCACAGAGTAATAACATGGTTAGTAGAGGGGACTGGTTATGAAACCCGGTAAACATCAGAGGCCGATGTCTTTGTTGTGGTTTTCCCTTAGTCACGTGATGTTGACCGTGCAAATGGAAAATCAACATGGAGATCGGAGTGACGTAAATGTGCAGAGACTCACGCTGTATTTCGCTAGATTTTTAGCTTAGATTAATCTCGATTCGATAAGTGTTATAGCTACACTACTCATCAATCGTCATGCCTGGAGATAACTGCGCTATGTTTGGCTGTGGGAGTTGTAGAAGAACGAAAGGGATCGGT